AAAAAAAAAAAAAAAAGAAAAAAAAAAAAAAAACAAAATAAAAAAAAGAAAAAAAATAAGACCAATATGCCATCCAGCTATTGGATAAATCGTACACCGCGGTAAAAGAATTAGTTTATTCAGGCAATATATTTAACCTAAAATTAAACCTTGACAATCGGCGGGAATAGTTCTGGGTTTTTATGGTAAATTATGGAGTTATCTAATTGGCCCCCACACCCCCCCACTACTCCCCTCAGTGCAGCGCGTTGAGCGCCTTGTTGTGGCCGTCCTCGGTCATCTGCACCAGCTCGTTGACGGTGTGCAGCAGGCTGTAGCCGTGCTTCCTCAGCAGCTGCTGGTTGAGCCGCTGGTCTCTGAAGCCCATCTCAAGCAGCATGGCCATCAGGGAGGGGTCCTGCCTGGTGGCCGGGTCGATGCCTCGCTGGAAAGGGAGGGGGGGGGTGATGATGACGTCGATGCATGTTTGCCTTTTGTGTTGAAGATGTTTCCAATTCACCAAAACCAGTCGGACTGGAAACCGGCTTTACGGTTTCATGACGCGTTTCTTTTTATTGTCTTAAAGGGAACTGGTTCTAAAAGCAGCAGGAAGTGAAGCGCTCTTTTCTCACTTTTCTTTGTAGGCTGGTGGCGTCTTGACAAAAACACGTCTCAAGATAAATGAATTCATATGGATGAAAATGCATTCACGCTGTATGCATTTTCTTTAACTAAACTACTTCTTAAACTATATACAGAAATGCATAGACTTAATTGCAATAAAAATATATAGTAAATACATATGTACAAACCAAATAGATTTTAATGTTTTGATGATATAAATCGTTACATCGTCCAGCCTGACTTGCCGATATAACAGCATTTTTTTTAGATCTCGGTTTCTAACGTGCAGAAGGGAGGGTTTCCGTGGGACGTACCTGTATGGAGCAGTTCGGTCCAGTGAAGAGAGCCTTGTATGCGGACGCTGCCACAGAGAGGGCCCCCTTGACGAGTCCCTCCGTGATGCCTCCTTGTCCCCTTGTATAAAGACAGGGATGTGGTTATTAGGTGTTACGCAACAGGATGTCTTCTTTTAAAACCAAACGCACAGACATGATTTCACACGCATGTCTTGGCGCTGGTTACACAAACTCTTTGTTAGAGTAATATCGGATCAGGTTGCCGCATTAAAAGATGATGGAACTGAAGGAGACACTAAAGCAGGAAGTTCATTTCAATTGCTGTAATGCACCTCGGCTGCAAAGCGTTGCTGGGTCTGGGGTTATATGTCTCAAAGGCACTGGATGCTGAGCCCGCTGATCTGGACAGACCGGATGACACTGCAGAGAAAAGGGGAAATAACACAAACATGCGTAATATGAGAGGAGGAGAAACAGGGCATTCTGCAGATTGAAGAAATCCTGCATGCTATCTCACTTCCTGTCTCCCTACAAGGGGCTAAATGCGTTTCCTTTATGTAGCACCTGAAAAAACAACAGACATAATAATGCTGCTGATGATACTCACCATTTAGGTGGACCCTTGGCTGGTGTGGCTCATATGGATCACGGGCTGGAGGACTGGGGTCCTCAGACAGGTACAGTGCCTCAGACCTGAAAGGAATAATGACAATAACCCGTTTGCCGGTTGCAGTGGGGAGATCCAGCGAATCAAAGAGGATGTAAATCTCTTTTGAAAGCAAAGCAGTGACGGGTTGAAATGTTTTTTGTATTTTGTGATTATACATATATTTTCCGACATGCACGGGGACCCTTCGAGGATCTCACCTGGGTGAGTAGAGGGCCGGTGGGGGTCGCGGGAGGTCGGGCAGCGGCGGCGGCGGCGGTGGAACCACTTCCGGTGTGAGCGTCACGGCGTCCAGCGTCTGGGAGGCACACAGCATCTGGTTCACGCTGCTGTGGCTCGGCGGGACAAGCGGAGGCCACGAGTCCGCAGCTGAATCCTCGGCGTCGACCGCCTCCTGCTGCCTCCCTCGCAGCGGTGCCTCCTGGGAGACTGACTCCTCCTCCTCCTCCTCCTCCTCTTCCTCCTCCTCCTCCTCCTCCTCCACCTCGTCCTGCTGTTCCTCGTCCAGGTCGCCTGAGGTCACCTCGGCTGCGTCGGCGTCGGGCTGCGACATGGCGGAGCTGTACATGGACTCGCCCAGAGGCCGGCTGGTGTCGAAGCAATCCGGGAGGACGATGATGTAATCGTCGCAAGAAGAGACAGAGGAGGTCTGGCTGCTGACCTGAGACACAGGAGGAGGAGATGGTGGACGTCGTTACGGGAGCACGATCAGCAATCTTTGCCGTGGAGGGGAACTAACATTCATCGCTGCTCGATAAATGTATAATCCAGTTAGTATATAAAGGGTTTGAAACTTCACCTCCTCCCATTCTTCTCCTTTGGTTCCACCATCTTCTTTGTGCTCCATGTCGTGCATGTCCTCAGGGACCAGGACCTCTTCCTCCTCGATGTCATGATCTGAACTGATGTGCAGGTCTTCATTTGCTGGTTCCAGCAGAAGAACTGAAGGTCAAAACCAGAAAATGCACATTGAAAAATTGCAGGGGTAGCTGCAATCAACTCATTGACACAAAAGGTTAGTGTAACTTAATCAACCGCAATCGAGGTTCCCACGATTCTCACGAAGCGATTTACAGGGTTCTTGCACCATTTCAAAAGTAAAATTGAATGCTTTTTAAGACCTTTTTAAGACCTCAAAAAATATAATTTAAGACCCCAAAATGTCACAATTTCTTTGGAATACGCAATTTATTGCCTCCTACAATGGAAATCAAAACTTGTTTAACACACACTTGTTACAGCCGACTTGAGAGGTGGCGTCTGAACTTGTAACGTCGTGCTGCAAACAATGCAGGGATTAACCTGGCCCCGCTATGGCTAGCTGCTGCAACGTATCGCTGGTGCTTTCATGTGCGACTCGACGGCTTTCAGCCCCGTGGTCCCTAATGAAAAGATCTTTTTGCATAGTTTACACATTGCCTCATTGTTGTTTTCAATCCTCACACCGACAACCGTGTAATGGCGACACGCAGCCTGACGTCAGCGTCTGTAGCCGACGTACCGTAAACAGCTTTTAAATTGCGGAGACTCGTTTCGCACAATACTAAATTAATCAACTATTAGATGTTTTACGATGCGCCACTGTGCTTTCTCGGCGTCATTAAGCGCACCGGCAAAAAAAATAATACCTACAGCAACTTTACATGAAATTTAAGACAATTTAAGACCTTAATTACCCGAATTTTAATTGAAGACATTTTAAGACTTTTTAAGGACCCGCGGGAACCCTGATTTAGGTCACGCCTGTTTTTCTCAAATATGTTTCGTTCAACAAAACAGAAATAAATACTTAAGGTAAAAATGGAGAAATATTTTTTTTTTAAATCCTGGTAGAGTAGCATCCTGGAAGGGTCCTCTGACCTGGCCTGATCTCATCTCCCTGGGTGACCCGGCCGAGAGGCGGAGCTGAACTTTCAAGTCTAACGGCGCAGATCTCCTCGCTTCCTTCTTGCACCGTCTCCATCTTCTCGGCCTCG